GATTTCTATTGTAGTGATCTCGCGCAGAATACCGACAGCTGCGCGTGCTATCATCTGCGTTCGCTTTGCCTCGCCACTTCCTCTGCTCAACAGCCACGGAGATCCGTCGACGCCTGCGTGTGTGTGTGTGTGTGTGTGTGTGTGTGTGTGTGTGTGTGTGTGTGTGTGTGTGTTCGGCAGAGAGAGTACGATCAGCCGCCTCTGCTGGACTGGAAACGCTCTACAATCCGAGCCGGTCAACATGTCTGTTCGGACCAGTGACAAGAAGGTCGTGCGCTCTTCGGAATGAAGGCGAATCCATTTCAAAGTAGTTTTGTTAAAGCTCAGATAGGGCTGCATGGATGCACTCGAGCGCGGCATGTCCACACAGACCCCTCTCTTTCTTTTTATTTTTGACAGATTTGTAATATGTTGCATATGGGTTTACACATGCGTTGCTTTAATATTCTCAGCAATAAAATTAAATAAAAATAGCCTATAGCCTAATAAAAAATACAACATAACACATTTTTAGTTAAAGAAATTGAAATAAAGTTTTTTTTTTGGTAGGTGATCGAGTTTGGTTTTGGTGAAAGTAGACTCCATTATAATACAAATATATATATAATAAAATGTCATTTATTTTTTAAGTGTCAATTTTAACTTTATCAAAACGGTTATCTCAAGGTTATCTCCTCATACTTGGAATGCGCAATTTTGTTTTTCATTTTAGATATTGAAATACAATTTAGGCTATGTAGAAACACAACACCATTTACGATCATTCAACAGCTTGTAAATAGAGGCTATTGAGTTTTAATTGAAATACGCGTCCTGTGGTCAAGATACGCTGAAACGGATCCACTGGCCTGTTGTAGAATTTTGTCAACTTCTATCGAATGATTTTATCAGTCCCTGGAAATATAACCATTCTAGATTTATGTTCTTAACTGTCAAATATAAAGTGTCAACGCAGGTTTTATAAAAAGGAAGTCATTTTAAAGGTACCAAACCATGAATTCTCGATCAATTAAGCACTTAAATGCCAGCAAGAAAGCATAATTGGAAGATGTTTGTACCATGCATGGCTATGTATCTGGTTTCGCTCTCACTTGCTCGACAAACATTTTCAAACTGATCATGCAGCAGCAATAATCAATCAAATTCCTGATCACTAATGTTAGCTCATTTGACAATTGCATTTAAGCAAATTATGACACAGCTTTTTATAAAATTCAAAAAAGGAAACAAAAACATTCACACATTGAGGAAATTGTTCAAATTCTCCAGGTTTCCTCTTACCTGCATGCACAATTCATTTGAACTCGAAATGTTTGATATCTTGACTATAAGAAGAAATCCACAAGCGTTCAGAGCGACCAGATGCCTTTCTGTCTCTCCCAAGTTCAGTCCACCATGGAAAATGGTTATCTACGCCGCTTGTGCACTCTTAAATCCGGCAAAGTAAATAACATCCCTGGTAATAATAGCAAGGTACGCAGTTCTTGTTACAGAAAGGGAGAAAATTGAAACTAAATGCTGCATTTAGGGCTACCATTTTTGATAAGAGGATAATTGAGGCGACACTGGTGTATAATTAGCGGATAATTTATGCTATATCCACTTTTAATCCACCTCCCAAAATAAACAAGGTCCATAATCATTACAGACGAATTGTTCTTAATTTTATAGCGCCAGTCTGAATACAGTGTAACGGATAATCAAAGAGAATTTGGATATAACTGATTGCGACCGTAATTGCTTTTTCATTACCATTTCAAGTAAATGTATGCCATATCATGAGGAAACTCGTTGTCTATAAAATAAAAATTGAGTGAAATGAGAATGAAGAAAGCCTTGCAGTTGTAGGGTATATTTACATCGTGGTTTATAATGCGATCGCGATTTGCCAAACCACAAACTCCACTCGTAATTTGCATATATTTTCAACTGTGACTGGCTCGTGATTATACGAGGAAAGGCTGTCACTAACCCGGGCCTTTCAGTGACTGGGGCTTAATTAAACCAGACCATATCTGGCGTGTTTATAGTTCACGTGAATCCTCTCTGAAGAGGCTTACAAGTTACAACTATTGCTTTTATAGACTATTCTTTTGACACCGCATATTTTCACTTAATATGCATGCCTTATATTTTTTATTCTATTGGCTACTGTAAATCTCCTTAATTATTTATGTATCGTTCTGTGTTTGTATTTAGCCTATTGGCTATTATTATTTTACTGTTGTGGTTTCTTCTGTTTTGCAAATGCATTGAGACTGCACCGTCCATATAAAATGACTTTTTAGTCGTACATATATGGCAATATATTCTCTATATCCTATAAAACGATTCGATTTGTATGGTGTTTTTGCGGTTTGTAGGCTAAGCGATATTTGGCACCTCGAGCTGTGGTTACGAACCACGCGATTAATTAGGCTACTTCGATAGCAGCGCGCGACATTGTCTCTGGAGTCGTATCTGAGTGGGAATTTTGTGAATATCAGAGGGATATCCCAGCATTATTATTCTCCACATGGTTATGGCTACGGTGGGAGCTGTTAAGGTAGGTTAACTCACTGTGAAGTCTCAGCTAAAGCAGAGAACTGATGACGTTAGGTTGAATGACCAATCGGAAGGCGCTGCCCTTTGGAGACAAACCATTTTACTTGTAGTGGCTGCATCAAGTCTGGAAGCAAGGACTCAAATTTAACAGAATCCACCTTAAAATCTCTGCCTTTACTCAAGCCCACCTTCCACCATACCGCGTGAGAATTACAGGACAAAAAAAGGATAAATTGTGGAGGTAATAACGCAATATCCCCTAACCAAGGAGAGAAAGAAACGAACACAACGAAAGGACTCATTTGGACTTCAGAGATAGGGGGTAAGTGCTCTTAAAGCAGAAAATTTGATGATGACCATGACTACGATGGCTGACGGTCTGGAGGCTCAAGACTCGTCAAAATCTGCTTTCATGGAGTTTGGACAGCAATCGCACTCACAACAGAGCTCCCCGTCAATGGCCGCCAGCCATTATCCGCTCCACTGTCTCCATTCCGGGTCTCATCATCATCATCATCAGCACGACAGCTCTCCGTACTCCGGCTCAAACTCTTATAACAGGTCGCTACCTTACTCCTATGTAAGCCATCCCCACCACAGTCCGTACCTGCCGTCCTACAGTAACGCCAGCGGAGCACAGACCAGGTTAGACGCCACAGGTAAGCGTATTACATGCGTAAAGATCCAGCTCTGTTTTCATTGTTGAACTATAGGCTACGAGGAAAGCCGTATGTCGATAAAATATTAAATTCACAGTTCTCATCTAAGACACCGTACCCGTTCCCCTTTGTTCTCGCCCAGTTTTGCCCGTCGTATGTCAGCAATAACTGTGTTCTCAAAATGATTTATTGCGTTCCGCCAGTGATTCTACCCACCATTACAAATTATAATTAGCATCTAATTGTCTCAGTCTCGACATGTCACTTCATGCTATTTCCTAAATATGACAGACAAAGTAATTATGCTATATGATGCTTGAAAGAACGTTACAAATTTGTGTTTGTCAAAAAAAATCACATTTAAAATTCTTATAAATGTTTATGTGCGGGAATCATTCCACAATATTCACCCTTTTCAGAACAGCAGAAAACAACAGTGATTGAAAATGGAGAAATACGTTTCAACGGAAAAGGCAAAAAGATCAGAAAACCAAGGACGATTTATTCCAGTTTGCAGCTCCAGGCATTAAATCACCGGTTCCAGCAGACTCAATACCTGGCGTTACCAGAGCGCGCGGAACTGGCTGCCTCTCTCGGGCTCACACAGACACAGGTGAGATGTGGACTCATTTACATTTAATAGTGAATTGTGCTTTTCATTTTGGTTGGGTATTAGGCTCTATCTCAGGTGGAATGTGGACTCAATTTAATTTAATACTGATTTATGCTTTTCATTTTGGTTGAGTATTATAACTGATTTTTGTAATTAATAAAGATGGACCTATAGTATATGTTTAAGAAGATAATGACCAAAAAAAATCTCATGTTAACTAAATTAGACACATACTTCACTTTAAATAGGATATAACCCATTTTTTATATTTTTCTTTCTTTTCAGGTAAAGATATGGTTTCAAAACAAAAGGTCCAAGTTCAAGAAGTTGTTGAAACAAGGCGGTAACCCTCACGAGATTGACCCTTTGCCCGGCTCCATCGCTCTGTCCCCGCGCTCTCCAGCCATTCCTCCTATTTGGGACGTCTCAGCCTCCTCTAAAGGAGTAAACATGTCTGCTAACAGCTACATGCCCGGTTACTCACACTGGTACTCTTCGCCTCATCAGGACGCCATGCAGAGATAGGCAACTAGCCCTGTTTTAGGCCAGAGGCCTTGACGTTGACTTCTTGTCTTCGACCAGTTCACGGTTTAACATCCCTAATATAGACCTATTCTAGTCTGTCTATTAAGGGGACGATTTCTTTTGAAGGATGAAGACATGTGGTGTGGCGAAGCTCGACAATGGAACTAAATGTCAGTAGCAAATTAAACGGATTGATTAAAAATCTGTTCTCACGTTGGCTGTAATCAAACACAATCATCACCAACAGGAAGCGAAACGTTTTGTCACGCGCTTGAGTCGCATTTGAAAACGAACTCAATCCTCTTGCGTTTATGTTTTTGATCATGCAAACGAAAGCAACTTGATTGTAAATATATTGTCCGATTTTAGTTGTTAAAAACTTTTTATGTTTTGTCATAAATGGAGTAAACCATGACTTCAAGTAACGTGTCGTGCCTTTTTTCCTTTTTGTTAAGGAGATATTATGAAAAACTGGCTTTTAAAAAATCAATTATGAAATTGATTATTGGAATAATCTGAATTTGAAAACATTTCTTTATAAAAAATATATATAAAATAGGACCTATAAACAACTTACACAGTCATTTGAAAATAATCACCTCCACTTAAGGCATTTTTCTAATGCTGGAAAGATACGAAGGAATAACAAAATGGCTTACCCGAGATGGTGGTTTCTCAAAGTGTTTTTCCTACAGAATAGAGCTGCATCTTGTCCATCTTGTCATTCTCTAGCTCAATTATTAAGGTATTGACAAAATGTTTTCCCCCTTTCTCTCTGCCTTGATCTGCGAGACGCTGAATGCCTTTCGCCACAGGATCGATCCTGAACAAAGCATCCAGCTGCAGTCTCGTTCAATATGAAGGAGATATTTGGGACAATTTATGGGTTTTATCCAAGAGAGGGTTTTTTTCCATTCTCATAAATGCAGACATAATTAGGGTAATTTTTGATGTAGCCCGCTGATTACAGCGTTTTTACCGTCAAAGATAATTACCTGTAATTTTCTACCACTTTTAATACTAAAAGGCATCTTTATTTGGATTTGAAGTGGCAAAGACGAAACAAAAGATGAAATTATTCGGTTATTCATGTACAAATTGCTCAGGAGAGTGAACACTTGGGATATTATCTAAAATTACAATGTTGAATAGGGAGACGAGAAGCCCCTGCAGCTGTCAAATCGTGGATGCCCCAGCCGCAGAGAATGGGGCTTGATTTTCTAAAAAGGTTTCCTCATCAACGGATTGGGATGGTTCATTTAAATGTTTGCTCTGCCTATAAGAACATGAGGTAGGCTATATCTTGAAATAGGAACCGTCAAAAACACATGTGTCATTGGTTTTTTAGTAATCTGCTCAGAGATAAAAAATATAGCTAACATTTGCAACTATTCAATTCAATTCACATTTATTTGTATAGCGCTTTTGACAATAGGCTACATATCGTTTTGAAGCAGCTTTACAGAAAATGCATGTGTACATTACAATTTAGAGTAATCTGTTATCAGAGGTGACTGTGTCCAATATACTATTTCAGAAATGTAGACTACATACAAATCACGCAGTTAGCTAGCCTATAACAACGTAGGCTATTAAATTGAAGACAGAAACAATGAGCTCATTGAAGTAGGCTAAATAATTAGGGTCAAGTTGTCAATAATTTTACAATAGAAATTGCCAACAATTTTTACAATAGGCCTAGAAATAACATTGATGCATGTTGATTCAGAGTTTGCCTCAACTCTAAAATTCTACAGCTATAATCTTTGGAGGAATCATAAATAATTCCTCATAATATTCAAAATAAAATGTGTTTGTGAGAGTTAAGGCCCCTACACATATATAGGCCCCCTGACAGACTGCGACAGACACGATCTTATAGCTGCGGATCCCGACATCCTCGAGACTAAATGAGAATTAACCAAAGACCAAGAAGCTAATAATTCCTAGTGTGTGCGCAAATGAAAAAGAGAGGGGTGAAACACCAAATTATGACCGGTTTAGATCCCAGCGTTCGTATGTCACACGTTTTCCTGTAAAATAGCCTGCATTCCCCAACAAGCCGAACTGCAGTTCATAACAACACCCACCCATCAGCGGCACACAGATTAGCCAACAACAAAACAACATGCTAGGCTAATGGAACAACACTTACCTTAGGTAGCTAAGTTTATTGTCTTGCATAGACCAAAATCTCTGGTTTCAATGTTTCAATAAAGATATCGTTGTGAAAGCGGACGGTCCTGTGTACCGCTTGTGTTGAGTAAGCAAATCCAGGTGTGGAAGTGTTTGCACACCCCGACACCTCTTATATATTGCCTGCAAAATTAGCCGTTATTACTGTCACTGTTTAGAGATGGTGAGCTAGGGAAAAAACCGTCTGCAATCAAGAACCAGGCGCATCTTTGCAAATTATAGATAATTGTAAATGTCCAGATTATGATAATGGAGCTAATCCTGGTGGAAGTATAATTATTGTTGAGTGTTACAGTTGAGGGTGTCCAGTAAAGCTAACTGTCATTATTTATACACGGTTTGCAGTGAATTCGTTGAGTGGAAAATGTTGAGTTGGAATTTAACAAGGCTCTCGATATAATAGCATGGGATGTAGCGTGTTTGTGTACGTGAAATAGAAAGCGAGGCAAAGTTATGAGTTGATATATGGCGTGAATGTTTTGAGCGTGAAGCGTGCGTACGCGAGCGCGTGTGGGAGTGTGTGTGTGTGTGGTGGTGGTGGTGGTGGTGGGGGTATAAAAAATGCATAATACGTACTACAATTTTCTCATGTCATAGGTTTCTTTTGGGTAGATATTTGTCACTTTGATTGGTTGTTTAGGCAAAAAAAAAAAAAAGCACAGTAGGCCTATGCCTAATTAAATAGAATTAGAATTAAATTAGTTATTGTTAACCAAGATTTCAGTGTTCAAAACATGACAAATACCAATTCTTGGGTTTTATGCAATAAAAATGCCAGGATGTTTCAACCCACATTTGGGTTGGACAAACCCAACCTTTAGGTTAAAATTTTTAATTAAAAAAAATTTATAAAGATATTTAAACCAACAGTTAGGTTTGTCCATATTTGACCCAACCATGAAACTCAGCTAGTTTATGTATGTGGAAACATCAGTCTCAAGTCATATTTTTAAAGGATGAACCGTTTATTTTGAACATTGAAGCGATCATCGAGCAAAATATTTTCCTGTAGACTATAATAAATAGCCATGAAACTGCGCTGGGACGATTTTTTTATATTTAGGTTTTATAGGCCTACAATAATATCATAGTCAACAAATAAATCTCCACCATGCCCTGGTGGCCTTTTTCACGATTTATCCGTGGCAGTCAGCTGTAGAAATGTTAGCGCTGGTTTTAATGAGATGTTCAGCATTTTTCCAGGAGGAGGATCTGTCAGGGCTGGGTTGTGGTCGCTGGAGCCGGTTTGCCCCCACAGGCATGCGGACTGCCTCAAATCTCCGCGCCGTTCCTTCGCCTCCTCACTACAATTCAAAGGTACTAATTGTAAGGAACACAAAGACAGCAAGGCAGAGCAAACTGTTTGGCAGACCAACAACCAATTTTTTTTTTCGTTCGTCGTGGGTGGGTTTAATCAAGATGTAGATCAAACATTCAGTCCTACTAACGTAAAAAAACAAAACAAATCTAAAACTTGTTTGGAATAATAATAATAATAATGAATATTAATTTAATTGTAGGCTATCAGGCTAGCTGAGGACCAAGACCGAAGCAAATCCCTTTTTCTTTTCTTTTTAATTAGACTATAGAAATGTTTTCCATTTATTCGCCATTAAAATGTGACTCAGCCCAGAACACATGATCCCAAAATGTAAAAACAATATCATGGTTTTCTCTATAATTTCCACTCGAAATTTATTTTCACGCTTGCAAAGTTAAAGTCCCTTTACAAATCACAGAAAAGTAACTAAGACGGGCTCTAAAGCAAAGTGCTCGGTGCGTTGATCTGTTTCGATTTACCTTAAAGAAGACAAAATGTTTGATAATTAAAGAAGAACACACATTTATTTGGGGTTGTCCTTAATGATTTGGCACATCGTCGGATGTACGCGTTGAGGTCAAAATTCAAGGCACCATTCAGAGTGTTTGGGTCCATTGTCCATTTAAAACATTTAATATTCTTCCAAATGCAATAAATTACATGCACACAATTTACACATTATACACGTTCTTCTAGGACTGCCATATCGATACATTGCATATTCCTCAAAAAAAAATTGTTAACACCAGTCCAATATACAACAAAATAATAAACCAATTTCAGTACAACGTTCCTGCTCCGAGTGCCAACGAGTGCTGTAACGTGCCCGGAGCCTGAAGGTGAGAATTCATCGCCCCGGCGGCGGAATACCAGGATGCGCTGGCGCTTTCCAGAAACGTGGATGCCGCTGTGTTAATATTCTGCGGCTGATGGTGAGGTCTCTGAGGACCCTGTGAGTCCCAGACCGCGGGAGACTGCGGGGAGTTACACGCCATCGGGTCGCTGGAGCTGGGGCTGTGTTCTGGAGGCAGCTCGCCGTTTTTCATGATCTTCTTTAGTTTTGATCTTTTGTTCTGGAACCAAATTTTCACCTGAGGAAACAAAAACAAAAACTTTTTTTGAGTTTCTGGGGACAAACAAATAAAGCACGTGTTTCTGCCAAACCTCTAGGCCTACATCATAATAATATATTTTTTGTTATATCGTTAACAATTTTTACAACCTATGAAAAAAATTATATGTCTATGCTATGCGCTTGCTGCAGCAAGCTCATTTTTATATATTTATTTTGCTAATAGGCTATAAAAAATAAGGCCTACCTATTTGAGAATTACATAAAAAGATATTGCAATAAAAATCAAATAAAAACATGTTAAAATGTCGTCGAACCTGTGTCTGCGTGAGTCCCAGCGACGCCGCGAGCTCGGCTCTCTCTGGGAGCGCGAGGTATTGCGTGTTCTGAAACCTTCTCTGAAGAGCAGCGAGCTGAAAACTGGAGTAGATGGTGCGGGGCTTCCGGACTTTCTTGGGTTTTCCGTTGACCATCCTCACTTCGGGCTCGGCTGTTTCTTTTTCTGACGGGTGAACAGAAATTAGATCAATGCACGGGGACAGAAACGCACTCTCTTGATTGTTGGTAATTATTGCCGTGATTTATGTCAAGTGTCGTAGTGCTTTAAAATTGCTACTCGCATAAAGTCAAGCAGAATAATTTATCAGAAAATCTTTACGCATTTTACTCTTGTTTTCTATGTAATCTATCTTCATATTACATGCAGGTTTTCCCCACCATAATAAACACATAGCATTAAAGAAACTTAAATGCAATCATGTTTCGTCCAACTTGGTTACAAAATTGAGACCTTATAAAAAGAAACAACTCTACTATCACAAACAATGCTCAATAATAATGGCCGACCATGCTAATGATTACTATGTATAATAACAACAATAATAATGTGCTTAAATATAATATAGTAAGCTAACTGACCTTGCGGGCTCGGTTGTGACTGCACCCTATTATATGTTCCGGCATATTGGTGATATGCTGTGGAGTATGAGCCGTAATCAGGGTAGGATTTTGCAGGGTAATTTCCAGAAGATCCATTGACTCCGTGGTATTGGTACTGATAGGCATTAAGAGGTTTCCCATAAGTGCCCGAGTTCGGTGAACAATAGCCATGATGAACTCCTCCAGCAGGGCTGTAATAGCCAGAATCCGTGGCTGTCGACTCCGGTAGGGTTGGAGATTCCTGAGATGGATGATGCATCGTGGAGAGCTGAAAAGCGTTTTGGAAATCTGCAGGTTTAATACTCGGAATCCTTCTGTCGAATACTCCAGTCATAGTTCGGATAAGACAACGTAAAAAGGCAGTCTAACTCTATAGGGGTCCACAGAGTCTACACTAACATTGTGTGTGCAAGCGTCAGGCGTCTCTCTTGAAGACTGCTTTAAGCCCCGCAGCAAAGACTTGGTTAAATCCTAAATTGCGCTGTTACGCACTGCAGGGAGGATCTAGTGCCATTGGCCAAGGAGCACAGCAGACGGCAGTTACTCCCCAACCCGTTCAACCAGTTTCAGAAGAACAAAAAACTTAATAGAGGTATTTATGGTATGTTTACAGACAAATGGAAAGGGAAATTGATTATTATTTGATGTAGGCTAAGTCGCTCACCGTACAGAAATAAGACGTCCGTTGATCCATGGATGCAAATCTACCTCTCACCAGCAGAAATGTCTGATTCACTTACATTTGGTTGGAACAAAACTGGCTACTCTCATCGAAGATACAATAACATATCCAGATATTGTTTTGTTTAATCCTTTCAGACGAATCAACAGATTAAACCATTTTTTTGTTTGTTTGTTTTGTATAGGCTATTGTTGTTTGGTCTGTCCTAATCTACATATGAATCTGCATATTTGTTACACATAAAATGTGTAATATTTTTCAATCATTTGTCACTAAAAACAATCAAATGGCCAATACTGGATGTCCATCTGTGTCTGCGGCGGGTTTGTTTATGGCAGCAATGCATGACAGCACTTTGGTGTGACTGATTTTATGATATCTAATATCACCGAAAAATATTTTGCTAATTTGTCCTATTATTGTTGTTCCTAAATCTTAATGAAGAGCATTGTCAAGCATTCATTCACAGTGACAAAGGTAGTCAGCAATAGTGGTGAAATGGTGCCACCAAGTGGAGATTAGTGAATAAAATAAGCCATAGTCAAAGTTTCCTTACATCCTCCTCAAGACAATGCATGTCCACTTTAATAGTGCATCAATGCAGGTGTTGACTAGTCATAAACGACGAGAAAAAATCTAACCTATTTTACAAATGACAAATTGTCAGTCTAGTAATAAATAGTGATTATAGGTTAATTCACTCAAAAATTAAATTCTGTCATTAATTACTCACCCTCATGTCATTCCAGATCTGTAAGACTTTCGTTCATCTTTGGAACACAAATGAAAATAAAGTCCGAGTCTCCGAGAGATTTCTGTCCCTCCATTGACAGCTACGAAACTACAAGGCTACTTTGACGTTTCAAAAAGTTCATAAAGAGACCGTAAAACTAATCCATATAAATTAAACATTTAGTCAAAAATTTCTGAAGACACTCGATCGCTTTATATGATGAACAGATTTAATTAAGGCTTTTCTTCACATTTAAACATTTATCAGCGAACATAAAAGACATAAACAGAAGCTCAACCGAACCTGCTTGATTCACGAGAATGAACCTCATTGGTTCTCACACGTCAACTAGTGAACATGCTTGAGCTTACCACAGGTGTGTGAGTTGATGATATGTGAATAAAAATGCTGTGAAATATTATTACATTTTAAATTAACTGATTTCTATTGTAATATAGGCTATTTTAAAATTTAATTTATTCCTGTGATGCAAAGCTACATTTTCAGCATCATTACTCCAGTCTTCTCTTCAGTGTCACATGATCTTTCAGAAATCCAAAGATGCTCATTTGCTGCTCAAGAAAGATGTATTATTATTATTAATATTAAGCAGTTGTGCTGCAGTGCTTATATTTTTGTGGAAACTGTGATTTATACCAGGATTCTTTGATGAATAAAAAGTGCAGCATTTATTATAAATAGCCTATAACTTTTTTGTAATATTTATTAAACTCATAAATGTCTTTTGTCTGTTTTGACCAATTTGATTAGCTAAATATGAGTGTTAATTTCATCTTTTAAAATTGTACTCACCCAAACCTTTGAATGGCAGTGTATCATGATTTCCAAAAAAACAAAACAAAAATTCAGTATTGATGATAGATTAGGCTATCTTAGAATGATTTCTGAAGGTGTAATATATTACAACAGAAACCAGTTAATTTAAATTGTAATAATATTTCACATTATTACTGTTTTTAGGCCTACTGTATTTTTGATCAAATAAATGCAGCCTTTGTGAGATTAAGAGACTACTTTCAAAAACATTAGAAACCTTAATGTTTTCAATCTATAAAACAAAACATTTACATATTTATATCACAATTAAATATCATTTGAAAAAATGATTTAGCTGCATATATGAATGGGGGGAAAATGTTTTTTTTTTAAATACAATAAATATAACCAAAACTTTTTACATTCATAAATCATTATCAGCTAAATCATTTTTAAAATCATCTCTAAACAGACCCGGAAATGACGTAACATGAGCGCCAGTATTATTTGGACGTTGTGAAATTAAACTTAATGAATGCTTTGTTACTACTATTGGCACATTTAAAAAACCGACTGAATAAAACGTAAAGCGTTCAGATACCTCGCGCATTAACGTCTATTTCCATGAGCTTAGTTTGCAGCAGTGAGAGTGTGTGTGTGTGTGAGTGAGTGTCGGGTAAATAGGCGCTCGTGCTGTGATGGGGGGATGGGATGGGGCCACTCAGAGCTCTCGTGCTCCACTAACTCAGCGCGCTCATTAATCTCAGTTTTCTCCTCTATATCGATGCTGTTTTAAAATAAAAATCATCTTTCCAGTTACCGCATGTGTTACGTGGCAACAGAAGAGCAAAAAGTGACGGCCTGCGATTGAATTTTGGTGCAGAAAGCGTTTAAAATGTATCCCATTGGAGCAGCTGGTGGTGAGTATTATTATGATTAGCGAGCGTGCTAGCGAGGAGATGCTAGCTGAATAAGTGTGGTGTTTTTGATGATAATAAAAGATGTAATTTAGTGGCGTTCGGTTGTACATGACGTCGATGTGCAAATTATTTTTTAGCTTATAGTAATGAAGTGTTGTTTTTCATCTCTGTCGAGGGTTTGTTTTTTAGGCCCATTGTTATTGTTAGCCTGCTAGCTAAGCTTGTTGACCTGCTGGCTTTTGAATCTACAGCAGTTGGTTAAAATGTTATGTACGTCAATCTTAAACGGTAATATGACGTACGTTGAAACTATTTTAGGTTTGGAGATACAAAAGTAGTTTATAGGGTTTAGTCTAATTGTTGTATGTGAATTGAACGCTGGTTGTCTGGCACCAGTTTGACTTTCTCCAGTTATGAAGATAACGTTAGATGAAAGTTCCTAACTAAAGTTCTAGTCAATAACGTTACATACACAATTAATTATTCCGCTTCCAAACGTTTCAGGTCTATTTGTAACGTTTTGTTATATATTTGAACAGTTGAGATGTTCAGCTAAATTATCAAAGTTTAACTGTTAACTTAAATTATGAATGTAAATTATCATTAGAGTTTAGAAAAGGTTGTTTTATTGTTTAATATATATTTATCACTTTTCTTAATAAAAAGTGTTGAGAACTTAAATGTTTTTCACACATTTTAAGAAAGAGGCATTCAAATTACAATTACAAATTACTTTTTGTCGTAAATTTAGTCAAACTCAGTTGGTAACACTTTACAATAAGTCAACAATAGTTGCATTAGTTAAATTAACAATGAACATTACTTTTACAGCATTTAATATTTTTAATTTGTTAATTGAAAATATGGTATATTATAGTGCTAATATAGTAAATGAATCAATGGTTGAATTTGTTAACATTTGTTATTGCACTGAACTAACGTAAACAGTGGAATTTTTATTAATAAACGCTGAAGAAATATATTGCTCTTTGTTAACAAATGAGATCACTTAGGCTTCATGTAGTGACACGTTTGTTTAATTGTCTGTTTTAGACTTTTTCTGATATGCATGAAGCATCTGAAATGGTGGTGATCTAGAGAAAAGCCGTTGAATAGATGTCCTTGTACGTGTGTGTGTGTTTGGCAGGTTTTTGACTTTCTTGTGTGGTGTTGGTGATAAGAAGTTAAAAGGCCTGTTGCCCTGTGGGATGGGTTCACGGTCCTAGTATCTTCCTGCCGTGTTGTGTTTTTAGGGTTGATAAGACACTTCAGGGAATCTGTCAGCCAAAGACTTCAGATACCCACAACCTTCTTTCTTGTACATCAAAAGTTTTTTTTGTTTAGTTTCACACGTTTAACATGGTTGCATTAACTTGACCTGTTTTTTTCCCAAATCAACAAACCCTGTGTGACCCAATTTTATTGTAAGCTAGACTTCGTAATCAACTAAATCTGATGGGTATTATTAGCTAAAACCAGCTGATTTATTTTAACCTTGTATTCAAATTGTAATGTGGCATATTTGCTACTTGACCTTGGCTTGCACTTAAAACGTGTGCAAGTAAAATGGCTGCATTTTCATGGTTTTACATATGTTTCTGCACATGATCACCAATGTAGAGGTTTGTTTGAAATAAACCTGTTATTATGTCTTTTATAGCTGCTGAGATGTGTCAGTCCTCGGGGTCAGATGTTTCTGGTAAGCAGCCCAGACTAAGCTGGCCAAGCCTAGCATATAATTTCAGTACTGTTTACCAAGTTGTCTTGAAGTGTTTAAACCAAAGGAATGATGGTCTTGAAACTTAATGTACTGTTAAGAGCTTCGTTTTAACACACTAATTCTCTAAATATTGACCATTGCTTAGTATTTTTCCTTTTCCAGTTTCTGATTGGATTAGTTACTAATGTTCAAAATTAGGTTTATTACTTAAAGTGTTATTCACCCAAAAATATGAAGGAAAAAAAAGCAGATCGTAAAACTAATCTATATAAGAATTGAGCAGTTTAGTCAATTTTCTGAAGAGACTCGGTCGCTTTAAATGACAAACAGATTTAATTTAGGCTTTTGTTCACATATAAACATTTATTTGTTTGACGCGTGAGAACAAACATCATTGGTTCTTGCGGAAGCTCACACGTGCTGGTTTTCACACGTCAAGTGAACATGCTTGAGCTTCTGTTTACCACAACTGATGTGTTGAATGTTTATTTGTGAATAACGTTTGTATGTGAGTTGATGAATGTTTAAATGTGGATTAAATCTGTTCATCATATTAAGCGATCGTGTCTCTTCAGAAAATTTGGACTAAACCGCTCAATTCATATGGATTAGTTTTACGATCTCTTTATGAACTTTTTGAGCGTCAAAGTGGTAGTTGTGTAGCTGTCAATGGAGGGACAGAAATCTCTCGGATTTCATTAAAATATCTTCATTTGTGTTTCGAAGATAAAAGTCTTACGGGTTTGGAACAACATGAAGGTGAGTAAATGATGACAGAGTTTTCATTTTTGGGTGAACTATCCCTTTAAACAATATCACATCTGCAAAAGTGCAGTTGTACTGAACATCAGCACGGCTGTAATTCGGCACGAGGCCACAGGTAAGCATGGAGGGACTGAGCTGATATTCAGTACAACAGAGCGACTATGACATTGCTTTTCAATACAGTTAAACAAACAAGAAGTTAATAGCAAGTGACTTGCATTTCAAACTAAAGTTGGCCAGTTATATAAGGTGGGGTGCTTGAGTTTATATGGTGCAGCAGAGCTCTAATAGTCTTACCTAAGTGTTTGTGTGGGACTAATTAATGGGATAAATTTGCTCACTGAACTTTAATGGACATTACTAGCTTGAAATAATTGATCTGATCTGACGGAAACTTAATGTTTGTTTAATCTGTACATTGTTTGTGAAGAAGCCATATGCAATGTTTTTTCTAAATAATGTAGTCAATGTTTTTGCATTATTTTTCATTATTTATTGCTGGTTTGTGTGTGTTTTAAGTGGATTAAAAAGTCTAGTGTTTGTAAAATTATTCCTTAATTTTCTTTTGTTCCCTCTTAAATACATTGAGAAAACCTGTTTTTGTACGTCTCCCGCAGCTCCTGTGTCTCCTCCACCACCAGAGTATGTCTTCAAACCACCTCAACGGCCAGACTTTGGCACAATGGGTAGGACAATCAAGCTTCAGGCTAACTTCTTTGAAATGGAAATACCCAAGTTGGAGGTGTACCATTATGACATAGACATCAAGCCTGAGAAATGCCCACGGAGAGTTAACCGGTAACATCTTCAGCTGAAACTTTAAATTTAAAACTGATTGTTTGTTTGGCAGGACATTTGTATGTACTTGTTTTGTTGTTTTTGCAGTGAAATTGTTGAGCACATGGTCCAGCACTTTAAGACGCAGATCTTTGGAGATCGAAAGCCTGTGTATGATGGAAGGAAGAATCTCTACACTGCCATGCCTTTACCCATTGGAAGAGACAAAGTATGTACTATTAAAGTCTGTGTACTGAACCGAAAGACCCGTAACGAATACATGCACAGTTTTAACCCTAATGTTGAAATGTTATGCTCTTACTCTGTACCTTCTCAAAATGCAACATTGAGGTCTTTTGATATCTTATGGAGTGTCACAGCATACTGACGTCCCAAACTGCTCTTTTAGGTGGAGCTGGAGGTCACAATTCCAGGGGAGGGAAAAGACAGGAGCTTTAAAGTAGCTATAAAGTGGGTGTCATGTGTGAGTCTGCAAGCTCTACATGAAGCACTGTCTGGGCGGCTACCGAACATCCCCTTTGAGACCATTCAGGCTCTGGACGTTGTCATGAGACATTTGCCCTCTATGAGGTTAATGGCTATATTATATTGACCCTGTGTTCCTTTTAGAGGGAGGCTCATGCTTCATCCTTCTGCACATGCACACTGCTGTTTTACAATGTATTGTTGTCTACAGGTACACCCCAGTCGGACGTTCGTTCTTTACTCCGTCTGAGGGCTGCTCCAACCCCCTGGGTGGAGGAAGAGAAGTTTGGTTTGGTTTCCATCAGTCTGTTCGGCCATCCCTCTGGAAAATGATGCTCAACATTGATGGTGCGTGTGAACTGACATTAGTTATTGGATTTTTTAAATGTTTTTGCACTGCTAATATTTATGTAAAATGTGTTTTTTAGTGTCCGCCACTGCATTTTACAAAGCTCAACCTGTGATTGAGTTCATGTGTGAGGTTTTGGATTTTAAAAGCATCGAAGAGCAACAGAAGCCCTTAACAGATTCCCAGAGAGTGAAGTTTACCAAGGAGATCAAAGGTAATTTATTACAGTGATTGGTGACAGAGACTTTTTATGGAATTAATTTTTGTTATAATCTGAACTTTGAATTTGATTTACAGGTCTGAAGGTTGAAATAACTCACTGTGGACAGATGAAGAGGAAGTACAGGGTGTGCAATGTGACTAGGAGACCAGCAAGCCATCAAACGTAAGATCTTTCACATTTGCAAAAAAAAATTCTTTTTAACTTTTCATTAAATAGTTATAGCTCTTTCTGTATGAATGCCTTTACATTTATATTCCTCATTGAGATGATGCTGTTAAAGGTCGATGCTTTTTAAAATGTATTTTGCTTGTCTCAAGGTTCCCCTTGCAGCAAGAGAATGGTCAGACCATTGAATGCACTGTCGCGCAGTACTTCAAGGATAAGTACAAATTGGTGCTGCGATACCCACATCTCCCATGTTTACAAGTTGGTCAGGAGCAGAAACACACCTACCTTCCACTGGAGGTTGGTCAAGACCACATCTTACACTTATGTTTTCCCCCTTCTCTCTGATGCCTTTCTCTGAATGTCATTATCCTTTTTTTTTATCCAGGTCTGTAACATAGTAGCCGGACAGAGATGCATAAAGAAACTGACAGACAATCAGACCTCCACTATGATACGTGCCACAGCCAGGTCTGCGCCTGACCGTCAGGATGAGATTAGCAAACTGGTATGTGATCAGCAAACTGATCTTTTGTAGTCTCCTAAATCTCATTCACACCTCATGAGATATTTCATTTGTTTGTGACAGATGAGAAGTGCCAACTTCAACACTGATCCTTATGTGCGTGAGTTTGGAGTCATGGTAAGAGACGAGATGACTGAGGTCAATGGTCGGGTCCTTCAGGCACCTTCGATTCTCTATGGTGGAAGGGTAGGAACCTGTTCTGGTCAACTAAACTTGACAATTATTCCGCTGAGCTTTTGGTTAAATCCCAATCGGGGTGTGTCTGCTTAATTCGGTCATGTATCTCTGGCTGTTTCAGAACAAAGCAATAGCAACCCCAGTCCAGGGTGTGTGGGACATGAGGAACAAGCAGTTCCACACAGGGATTGAGATCAAAGTGTGGGCTATTGCCTGCTTTGCCCCACAGAGGCAGTGTACAGAACTCCTCCTGAAGTAAGTCAGCTTTGACTGGAATTTGTATTTGATTGAATTCTAATCAATACATCAGTGGTTCTCAACCAGGCGGCCTCGTTTGAAAATGAGCACCTTTGTCATAGCAGAAGTATCAGAAATATCTTGGGGGGGCCTTTAAATATAATCTCTGACAGTGGAGTGAAAAAGGTTGAGACCCTCTGCCTAGTCTAATCCTTTGCTTGTTTTCTCTAGGGCGTTCACTGACCAGCTTCGTAAAATCTCACGTGATGCTGGGATGCCCATTCAGGGCCAGCCTTGTTTTTGCAAGTATGCCCAAGGAGCAGACAGTGTGGAGCCCATGTTCAAACACCTCAAGTACACTTACCAAGGCTTACAGTTGGTGGTGGTTATCCTACCCGGGAAGACCCCTGTTTATGGTAATTTAACTCGTCTCTGTTTCTTCAGTGTTTATGTTTGCAGTGTTTTTTTTTTTAGGTTGTATCCCTCTAAACACTGTAATTCTCATAGCTGAGGTGAAGCGTGTTGGAGACACTGTTCTTGGCATGGCCACCCAGTGTGTCCAGGTGAAGAATGTACAGAAGACCACACCTCAGACCCTTTCCAACCTCTGCCTCAAGATTAATGTCAAACTGGGTGGAGTCAACAACATTCTTCTTCCACAGGGCAGGTGAGGGCAGCTGCTCAAAAAGCCTTTGACATGTAGAATAAGCTTAAGGCACTTTTCTGAGTCTTTGTCTGACTGTCCGTTAAGTCCTGGGCTGCTTTCCCATGAAACTTAAAGGAATAGATAGACAAAAATCATAATTGTCGATTATTCCTTTGAAATTGCAATTGCGATTATTAATTACTATTATCATAATTTACATTGACTGATGTTTTAAATAGCTTTATACCATGTTTAAAGCAACTTCATGCCATATTTTTATATCAAAAATAAAAAAAATAAGCTGAAAATACTCTTCCTGAAAAACTTTTATTGCTTTTCTCATTGCCACAAATGTAAATGATACATTGGTTTGGTTTCTTTAATTAAAAAAAGTACAAATATGCAATAGTATGCATGGTATAATTGTTATACTAAAACTAAAATTAAAACAATGGAAAAACTGTAGAAAGAAAAAAACTGAGATTCCCTTATCAAGTATTTTGGCCTAGAACACAAGCCATAAAAATACTTCGAGTTTTCAGGAATGAACAACATCAAGTTGTTCATCAACATCAACCCCGCGCTGCAAACTGTACTGGCTGCGTGGCGTGAGCGTGGCGTTTCTGTTGCGTGTCAGCTGCGTCGCATTTTCTTTGTCTTTGCACACCAGAAGCGTGTCTGACGCGGCGCTGCTGCTGCTAGGTGATGTACAGGGAGGACGTATTGTGGAAGCCCTATACTTCATGTTAAGCATAAATATAAAGCCTACTGATAAAGACACCGTCAGCAGTATTGACAGCAAAATAGACTACAGAATATTTCGTTCTGTATTGACAGGTGCAATATTTGAAAATTGATCATTATTTGTTTTTAATTATTTTTTATATCTGAATTTGTCAAAACCTAGACTTTCAACCATCAAAATGTAATTTATTAACATGTATTCGTGTACAAAATAACATATAAACATATTTTCCTATTCTATTTAGCCTGGAAACGCTTCCAACACGCTTGCGTGTCGCGTGAAAAATAGGCGTCGGTTATATTTCTAGCATGCACACATTTTCCGCGCGTGTCACGCAGGCAGTCTGCAAGCTCTAATCTGTTAACATGGGAGCCGAAATAAAAACGGACACGCCACGCAGCCAGTGTGTCTCCGGCCTTATTAAAAGTGTTGATTTGCCTGTCTGTCACAACATGACATTATCTAAACACGCCTCTTTTTTTTTTTTTTTTTTTTTTTTGTAATCGCGGCTTTGGACGATTACGTAATCGTGGCATCCATAATCGTGATCACGATTAGAAATTCGATTAATTGTGCAGCCCTAACCCAAAAATGAAAATGATTTACTCACTCTCAAGTTGTTCCAAACCCATAAAATTTGGTTAATCTTTTTGGAAAACAAATTAAGATATTTTTAATGAAACCTGAGTGGTTTCTGTCTCTCCATTGAAAGTCCAGGTAACCAAAACTTAGAAGATCCAAAAAATCATTAAAGTGTTGTAAAAACGGTATGATGATCACTTTATATGATGAACAGATTTAGTTTAGGCTTTTATTTAAATCTAAGCAGTGATCGACACACATATAGAGCACATCGCATTTGGTAAACATGGAAGCTCAAACAGGTGTGCGTGATGTATGAGAACCAATGAGGCTTTTTTTTAGCCCATGACGCATGACCAAATTAAATTGTTCATCATATAAAATGATTATATCTCTTCACAAGACTTAGATTAAACCACTCGATTCATATGGATTCGTTTGACAAAACTTTAACGAGTTTTTTGGATCACATAAAGTGATTGTTCCTCTCATGATTCATTTTATGAACTCTTCATGACCCTTTTTGATTAGTTTTGGTTTCCTGTCCTTTCAATGGAGGGACAGAAACCACTCAGGTTTCATTAAAAATATCTTAATTGTAAATTCTGTTCTTTTGGGTTCGGAATGACATGAGGGTGAAAAAATGATGAGACAATTTTTGGATGTATTTTCCCTTGGGAAGAAAATACTTTTATCACTAAACTATTCTGCACATCCTTTATATCTTTTTTTTTTTTTTTTTTCATCTTTAGGCCCTTGGTGTTTCAGCAACCAGTCATCTTTCTGGGTGCAGATGTAACTCATCCACCAGCTGGAGATGGCAAGAAACCCTCAATTGCTGCTGTAAGACTGAAAAACCTGACAGCCGTATTAACATGACTGATTATGCTCATTGCAGAGTGCCAAGTAGCACTAATACCACAAGTGTGACCAGTATCGACTTCTGGTGCACAATTTTAAGCCAGATCATATTGCCTCAAAGATCTCTTAAAAAGGCTTTTAACATCTTTTTTGGTGGCATTTAGGTTGTTGGCAGTATGGATGCCCACCCAAGTCGATACTGTGCCACGGTTCGGGTGCAACAGCACCGTCAGGACATCATTCAGGATCTGGCCACCATGGTGAGAGAGCTGCTCATCCAGTTCTACAAATCCACACGCTTCAAACCAACACGCATAATCTACTACAGAGATGGCATCTCGGAGGGCCAGTTCAACCAAGTAAGCTGCAGACCTACACCTTCTGCCAACACTTGACAAGTGTGCTGAAACATTTAATTTAATCTTCATCATCCTATTTTGACCATGCAGGTTCTACAGCATGAACTGCTGGCTATCCGGGAGGCCTGCATCAAGCTGGAGAAAGATTATCAACCAGGAATCACCTTTGTAGTAGTGCAGAAGAGACACCACACCAGGCTCTTCTGCATGGACAGGAATGAACGGGTTGGTTATTGCACAGGCACAATTTGTATGATTGCAAGCAGTGCTTTTAAGTGAACTCCTTTCATTGAAAGTATACAAATTATTCTTTATATACAAAAGTATATATAAATGTGGTTATTGCAAACATCTTGTGAAGTAAATGGTAAAGCATTAGTTTCAATAATTTGTTCTACAAGCATATGTCCTTGAACAAATTGTTTGTAAAACGGCACAAACCTTTTTTGACTTTTTTATTGTTTAATGTTTTTAATGCATTTTTAAAAATTTGCCTTTCAAATTGACTGTTTTGTATTCAAGGTTGGAAAGAGTGGCAACATCCCTGCTGGCACCACAGTTGACACCAAAATTACTCACCCATCTGAGTTTGACTTTTATCTTTGCAGTCATGCCGGAATTCAGGTACCATTGAATATTTTTAATGGAATATCAATGAGAGGTTGATCAAGATTCCTCAAATTCATAGACGTTTTATATAATTTGAGTGCTTATGTATGCTTTATTCCTAGTTATCAGGTACTTTAAAGAGTGGAGGTTAATTTGCTCTAGTGTTGGCGAATATTATATTTGTCTAAGAGTGTGTGAGTTTTGTTAATTGCATAATTGCTGAATCTCCACAGGGAACCAGCAGGCCGTCTCACTATCACGTGCTGTGGGATGACAACCATTTCACCTCTGATGAGCTGCAGGTCCTCACATACCAGCTGTGCCACACCTACGTGCGCTGCACCCGCTCTGTCTCCATTCCTGCACCAGCCTATTACGCCCACCTGGTGGCATTCCGTGCCCGTTACCACTTGGTTGACAAAGAACATGACAGGTACTGAATGTCTGAATGGCAGGTCATTGCAGAGTAATAACTACGTTTTTTTGTCAAACCACATTGTCTAAGCTGTTGTTTTATTTAACTGATAACATGTAGAGCAGGCTATATAGCATTGCTGTCGGTGGAAACCTTGTATGTCTAAAACGGCTACTTTTCAGGTAGTGGAAAAAGCAGTTTAAAAAAAAAATAACTTAAACTCAACTTTTAATTTATAGAGCACTTTCCACACCACAAGTGTTGCAGCAGCAAAGTGCTGTACAGAAAAAGATCAAATAAAAACAAAAACAATGCAAACATATGATTTTACACTGCTACAAAGGATTTTCAAATGCTAAAGCAAATTAATAAGTTTTAAGCGCACTCTGAAATAAACCCAATGTAGGAGAAGATTTAACAGACAGAAAGGTCATTCCAGAGCCTAGGAGCAGCAACAGAGAATGCCTGATCGATCACCTTTACATTTTAAACGAGATCGCAGAACCATGAGGAGCAATTGATCATTTGAGCGCAGAGTTGACCACCACCAATTCTTATACATTGTGTTGTCAAAGTCAATATACCTTACATTATTAACATTTCTCCAAAATCAAGCTCAAATGGACCTTTTTTGACCTGCAAATGACAAACATGTGTTTTCTCCATCATTAGAAAGGTGAAGAATTGTATTCTTTTCATCAACTTACAGGTTATAAAGTTTATTGTAGCTATGTGTGCTTTTTTTTCTTTTTTCTGTCAATTTGCCAAAATCTCATGTTATAAAAGATGAAGTGCTACGCAAAGGCTATTTAAGACCGTATTGGCTATGACTCGATGACAAATGCTAGAAGACACACTTCCCTGCTCCTCAAATCTGTAAAACATTAGACTTTATATAATATATAAAGAACACACAGTGGTTCTAAAGTAAAGAAAATACAGTACTTATTCAAAGAAACAGTTCTTTATTTACCCTTGAATTGCAAACAAGCAGAGACGGTCCAAAATGTGTTTGGCACTGCATTCACGATAGAGGTGGGTGGAGTTATGAGGTTTGAGGAACCAATGGAGTTGGGTTTAGTCACAAGCTCTTTTTAATGCTTTTCATTGTTTAAATATTTTCTAAACCCACAGAGAGACGTAAAAAGCGACCAATAGTAATGATTTATGTAGGAAAAATATAAATGACGAGGTACTATGGAGATACAAGGTTCACTCAAAAAAATGATATGTTGGCTTTAATTAATTTTATTTCGTCAACAGGTTCCACATAACTAGGTTATGTTAAACAAACATAATTTGTTATGTAACTTCAACATAATTTGTTCATGTAACTTCAACATCATGGAATTAAAGGGATAGTTCGGCCAAAAATGATATTTAAACCATGCATTACTCACCCTCAAGCCGTTCGAGATGCATATGTCAATCTTGTTTCAGACGAACACATTTTCAGTTATTTTAGAAAATGTCTTAGACCCTTCAGTGGATATAATGTGAAGCAATGGGGTCCACCTCCTTTAAGTCCCAAAATGTGCATATATCCGTCACAGAAGTAATCCATCCGGCTCCAGGGGGATAAACGAAGGCCTTATGAGGGTAATCCGTGCGGTTTTGTCGTAAAAATATACATATTTAAAACTTTATAAATGAAAATATCTGACTTCCGGCAACGATCGACGCGCGTTCACGGGTGATGTTTTGCTCTGCTCTCTGCATAGCTCTCTGGCTGCGCGGGCGCGTTCGTTCTACGTCACGACGCTACGTCCTACCTCGTATGCCGACTTCCATCACCCGTGGACGCGCGTCGATCGTTGCCGGAAGTCAGATATTTTCATTTATAAAGTTTTAAATATGTATATTTTTACGACAAAACCGCACGGATTACCCTCATAAGGCCTACGTTTATCCCCCTGGAGCCGGATGGATTACTTCTGTGACGGATATATGCACATTTTGGGACTTGAAGGAGGTGGACCCCATTGCTTCACATTATATCCACTGAAAGGTCTAAGACATTTTCTAAAATAACTGAAAATGTGTTCGTCTGAAACAAGATTGACATATGCATCTCGAACGGCTTGAGAGTGAGTAATGCATGGTTTAAATATCATTTTTGGCCGAACTATCCCTTTAAGTCATTTTAAGCAACCCTATTGAAGTAGTCTCAAAGTGATTTTTTAAAGGCTTCCTGACATGATTCTGGTATTTTTTATATTCATTCAGTCATTCATTAATATTTCATTTATTTTAGTAACACATAATTAAATTGTTAGACTATAGCTAGCTGTTTGCTAGCAGTAGCACATATTAGCATCTTAAATGCTAAGATTAACATGCTCAGTCAATCAAACAGTTGAAATAATTAAATCAGTCCACAGCCAAACAAAATGCTCCACTCTTCTCCACAATGGTAACCCACTGTAATTTAAATGGTGCTAATAATTCAAATGTAATTGAACATTAAACACAATTACACACTATCAAGTCTTCCCCTTTTGTCATTTTCTCAAAAAAAACATAAAATAACACTTAATTTTAACATTTATTCTCTCTTAATTCAACCATATGCAAAGCATGCTGGGCACTAACAAGCACCGCCCAGTTTTAGTTAATGCAACACAAATCAATCATGTAATCCAACACAAGTGGATTAAGTAAACTTAAATGTTACATATATTTAAGCAGATTGAACACAAATTAAGTTCGGGCAAAATGGCAGTTGGCTCGCACTATACTGCCACCCTCTGGATGTAAGAATTTTTCACTTAACATAAATGGTTTGTGTTTAGGCAACGCATTAGGATTTTGTACTGTTAAGTTGAGACAATTACGTGGAGCTTACTAGAAAAAAACATTTCAAGTCAAAAAACACAATTATTATAAGTAAACTAAATATAAATATATTATGTAAAGTGCACAACCTTCCTAGTTCATTTTTTTGAGTGTTTCTGCCCGTTTGCGATATTAGCCTTGTTTGGTTTACTTTAAAAAAAATTCTCTGCTCCATACAGTATGCTAAAGTAATTCTTAATAATGCTTCCAACTCAATGTGATTAATCTTTTATTTTTATATATATAATGAAAAAAAGCGCCCTAGCTGTGCATTCCCACTAGGTCTGATTTTATGTGTGTTGTATCTTGTTTCTGGCAGTGCTGAAGGCAGTCACACATCAGGTCAGAGTAACGGCAGAGACCAGCAAGCCCTGGCCAAAGCTGTTCAGATCCACCAGGACACACTGCGCACCATGTACTTCGCCTGAACATAGCCAGAAACAAGCCCCACATCCTGAAAACAGCACGGTGTGTGTGTGTGTTTGTGTTTGCCTCATGAGAACCTTCAAATGGGGGGAAAAACAATAATCGCCATGCTGTTAGGTTACCCATTGCCCATGTAGTCAATTACCAAACATCCTAAATATCCATGGTTTTTAAAACTGTAACTTATTAATTTATCTCTTTTTTTCCTTTAGTTTGGTGGGCATGATTGTGTACCTGTTGTGCATGTCAGATTTGAGGTTAACATGTTTACATAGTCAATCCAAAAATTCAGACTATTTTTACACTGAAAGTTACATTTGCATCCGGATGGGCTTGATTCAATACTATTGCCAAGGCTGGTGATGGAGACTGTTGAACAGTAGTTTTACAAACTCATCAAACCAATGAATTCGGGTTAGTTTAGGATAACACGGATCAGGTTAAGGGGTTGTGGGGATGCAGTTTCCACAGCTAAATTATTTATCAGCAAGAGCCAGTGCACTGACCAGAAGAGGACTTCAGGACAAAAGTACTTATCCTGTTTTGTTTCATTTATTTGTTGTGCTAATATGATTTTTTTTTTTTTTTTATTATCATGGTGTCATTTATTGTTTAGTCCAGGGCTCAGTCGACTTACTGTACCTGTCCGTGTCCGCCAATGGCATGATTAACGGAGTGCTATCATGTACTTGTGTCAGAAAATTTGAACACAGTGAGTGCAGAATCAAGAAAGCTTTTGGAAGTGAGAATGTAGGAATTGTTCTGACAATCAGTTTTCTGGCACTCTGCCGCTCATTTGAGGCTGGTTCTCATCAGTGACGCCCTCCGTTTACCTGTGACAGGGTTCTCGGTGCAGAAATATCTTTGTAATATTGATAATTGACCTGTAAAGTACTAATATTTTAGGACTCCAAGCATTTCGATTGAGATTATCTTGTACGTACTTTAAATTCTGCTGCCATAAGCATTTCTCTGATTTGTCGAATGTGATTGTAACAACCTAACGTTTCGGTGGGTGGGTGTATGAGTTAAATATCTTTCACATCAAAATTAGATCGCATTTCACTTTAAGCACCTATTCTGAAATTTTCATTTTGACGTTGTCAAAAATATTCCCCACAACGAAACATGAGGCAGTTGTGTGCTGAATATTAGGGAATCTGGAGTTTGCTTGGTTCTGTGTGCTGTTTCCAACGGTGAAGTTTGACTGTACTATGTTGACTGGGTTTAAACGCTGTCGTCGCACTCCAGCGGACTTTACAGGCGATCGAAACTTTTAAAGATTAATACAGATATCAATTGCATTTTTCATAGAGACACGAGGTCAGTGAAAATTTCATACAAATTTCGAATGCACCTTAGTTTTTTTTTAGTTTTTTTTATCTCTAGCTTATAACCATTTCCAATCCCTTTTTAAAACTTTTTCTTTTTAGATATAAACTGTGTGAATCTTTTTTTTTTTTGAACCTTGGAACCTTTTGTAGAATCACAGGGTTGGCGAGTGGTCATTAGCTTTTTATTGTTTAACTGAAAAGGAACATTTATTTAGTGCGAATTGATCCAGACTTAGTTCAAATTGAAGCGCAATACATTGTATATGTGTCGGTAAACTGTTTTTGTGTAAACAGTCTTATGCCTTCTAAAGCATATCATGATGTGTGTAGTGATTGATCTAGTGAGTCTTGTTAGTTAATTAACTGTAAGATCACTTCCCCAAAATAATGTTTCAATTTTAACTTGAAATTCTTGGGAATTTTTAACCATCTTTTTCTAACTATGCATTCTTAACCAAGAGATTTTAGTGGTATGTTTATGTATATGAATTTAGAACATTTGTAATGTAGTCGTTTTCATGCTGGGTACTTTTAGTAGTGTAAATAGTGCAAACCCTGTACCCACTGTAGCAGTATTAGCTTACAAAATACTCTATTTTTATTATCAACAATTGGATGTTCTTTATATGGCTCTCAATTATTCCTGTTAGCCGAACAAGATTACATATGTACTTGTAGTTAATGTCCTACCATAACTGAAGCACAATAGGACATTATAATTGTAGGTGCTAGAGTTTATTCTTGAGACTACCATTTTTTTATATATATCTTGTTTAACTTCAACTTTTAAACAAGAATCATAGACTGGCCAGAGAGCTTAATGGGTATGTTTGGTTTTCGATCTGGTGAAATCTATGACATTTGACCCTGAAACTTTTTGCCATTTTCTAAACCCAACAGACTGTGTATAAGGGGCATTTTAATTTATCTTCAAATACTTGATTAGAGTTATGATATGGTTTGGCGCTGGTCTCATAACTCGTGAAAGTAGATGCACTTTGAAGAGCAACGGACACAGACCCCTAGTTCCAGTGTTTATCTGGATCATAAGCACGCTATCTGGGTGCAGTTGTGTGGAAATGACTTGATGTCCTACCTCTTGTTACCTGTTACTTGTATTATGGTAACATTACCGCACTGGTCATTTCCTCATAATTGCATGAGTGGGGAATGTTGTCTTTTTGTCCCTCTGAAAGTGAAAGTGGTAGATGTCACAGAAAATCTATTCATATTTGTTCAGAGGCCATACCTGCTGCCATTTAGCCTAGATTATTTAGCATTGCTATTGTTTTGTTATGGTAGTTAAGCTATGTATTCAAAGCTAGAGTTGAGTGCTGCAAGTTTCAGATGTCATACATTTGATGTTTCATAAGTCCGACATGAATCCAAAAGAATATTTATATATATGCTTTCAGTGAATAAATGGCTTAATGGCTCTTTAAATGTGTGGCATAAGCTATAAAAATTTTCATAAATATATAGTGTGAATTCCAGTTTCCAGTCCTTTTTTCAATTGAAGCGCATTGTCGCTTTATCCATGTACTCATTTGAATATGCGTCACTTAGCTTTTTTGTGTTTTTCTTTACAACTTTAGGTTTTTTAATAATAGTATTTATCATTTAGCATTAGAAATATGAGATGAAATAATTTCTCAAACTACTACTTAGATTTTCTCTGGACAATCTCATTTTTTGTTTGTTTTTTTGTTAGAATCCATTATTTTCGTCCTCATGACCTGCTTTAGTTAGATGTTTGCAGAAGTTACTGAGATTTTAGTATTTTAACCTTTTCAAAATCAGCACCTTAGTCAAAGGTCTACAACATATGCAATTTCTCAAATATAAAATATGAGATGTTTTTGCACTATATCAGAAGAGGAGTTACTAATTTGCATGCCGGTGAACAGATTTGTAAGGTTAGAGTGAAGAACCATCATTTTTTTAGACTAGTCTTGGCCTTGTTTCACATTGGCACTAATCTATTAATAGTTAACAGACGTGAGAAGGTCTTGAGTTCTTACACTATGCAAAAACTCATTTCCATTCTGAGCAGCCACTGTTTTTATACATGGGGTCAAATTGTTTTATTTTTTATTTTTTTGTCTGTGAAATCTGTCAGGCATACCACAATTTGTTTTTCACTTCACTACTATCAACTGACTTTTTTTAATGATGCCATAAGGAATCTGATGCAAATGTTTGATAAAAATAATTCCGTTCAAATATTGTGAATGCAAATGTAATAGAGGCCAAGGATGAATGAAGTATGATGCTGGTTTTGTAGAGACCGTCGCGTTAATCTATGCTGCAGCATCTCTGTTTCAGATTTTAAGAGGCACACACAGTGTTAATTGAAAATTGAAATGGTGCCTCAATTTCCCTGGAAGCTTTGAATGATCTACCGATGTTATGACAATAACATTTAATGGATGTCTCTTGTGTCATGATTTCTAGAGTATTGACTCTTGCTGCTTTAGTGAAGCTTGTATATTGCTTGGCGATTGCGAAGTGTGTTTCCAGCTCTGTGTGGGGTTACAGTGTCCACATGCCTCTTCGCTTTACATGTTATGGTTTGAATAAAACTAGTCAGTTTAGCTTTGATTCTTAGTTTGTGTCCCAACAACTTTCAGATTTGAATTTTATTCGTGTCAGACAAAAAAAAAAACGTCTCATCAAAAGAATTGTGCCCCCCAGTTTGATGATCAGAGGTGGTCTTTTAACCTATAGAGATATATTGCTAATGTATTTGCATTAGAACTTTGCACTATAGTGTTTTTAAGCAGAAATGTAAGCCTCTCTTTACATACCGTGGTAGTTTTGTTACTGTTCTCATTGCTTTTTAAATTCCTACGGTGGCAAGTTTCAAAGATGCTACCTTTTATGATCTGCTAAAACCATAAATATACAACTGAACAGTTTGAATGTACTTCATACACCTGCATACTTGTAAAGAACATCCACATTACTTTCATCTGTTTGCTCCAGTTTGTTTTATGCATGCACATTTAAAGCAGGATTGAATCGTTTGGCTTTTATTCATGCATATTTTGAACTATCTCACCATTCATGGTTGTGATGTACTAGATTAACAGATATGGAGTGGCAACATTTGATTCAGAATACACACTGGCACAAAGATCCATGTATCGCTGACATGTGTGGTGCTGTACTGTAAACTGTGTACATAAGGCAATTTTTAGATGTTTCATGTTTTTTGCCATGTATTGCTTGTATGTTTGCCAGAATTTCCAACTGAAGTTTCATCCAAAGGGTTTTTTGAGATATACCACAATACCTATGTTCGTATATCAACCCAATAAGCCAAATTCACTTGTTTTAAAGACCAGCAAACACACTGTGGTGGTCCCGTAATCATGACAGTGATACTTGCTGAGCCTCAATTCATTGTGTGCACAAACTAAACCTCAACTCAGATTCATTACAGGTCAGTTGCCATTCAGCTTGATGATTTATTGGGGCGTGACGGCATACAAGTGTTTCAGACTTTTTTTGGATTTCTTCCTCCCTACTAAGTTCAAAACTAGTTTTAAAACTAGTCTAAAATGACCAAAAGTTAAGCTTGTTGTGAGGGATAATAAAGATCTCTAAGTATTCTGTTAAAAAGAGCACACTTCCATTAGTTCATTACATGCTAATGTTATTTATTCAAATATGAGCATGCATGTAAAATAATTAAAATAGGGTCTTGAGACTGATTTATTGGAATAATTGAGAGCTTCATGACCTGGCTTTTTAAACCAACTTTGAAAAACTACCTCAATAGTATCAGGTGCTAACATTAAAATATCCCTTATACATATATGTATATGTGCTCATGACAAAGAACAATAATTGTGACCAAACAACACAAGCCTATACTGTGTATTAAGTGTTTAGTTTTGTTTTGTTTTTTTAGCGACTTTTAAAATTTGTAATGGTGGATCAACATGAGGGATGTTTCAGCATGTAACAAATTCGCAGGGGACCAAAATAAATATGATCTGAAAGTTTCCCTTTTTAAAATGTACTAGTGATAAATACTCATCAGCTTTTAGAGGACTTCATTAAAATCATTTTCCGCTTTACATTTTGACTGAAATGGTGCTGGAACAAATGGCTAGGAAGAGCGTTCAGGCCAAGATTATTGCCAAAACATGGTGGTTGATTTGGTCTTTATGGATATCGACTGAGTTGAGTTGATCTGGTATGTGGCAGTGTCATCCCCATGTCCATCACTAGCATTGTGCCATATTATGGATGACATACTTGACAAGAAGCGTCCAATGACCTCTGCTTTGTGTTTAATGTATGTTCGGGGGAAACTGACAGGATTTTCCTATGGAAGCAGCTTGTCAACCTGTGTCAAATGGCAATTTAATCATCGTTGAGATTTACTGTCTTTGGAGTGCTAGGGTTATACTTGATTCTACAGCTTGATTTATATCCAGTATTGCAATAACACATTAAATCCTGATCCGTTTGATGAAAGTCCCACAGCGAGTCTGCGATAAGCTATTTGTATTTAAGCATTACATGTAAGACTTTGGAGTGCCGTTCATTGTAGTTGATGCGCATTTACCTTGCTATATTTTATGAAGGGAATTCAGTTTTGATTTGATGTCTCTCAAACTCTTGATTAAGGATGTTTAGCATCCCAAATACACTGGCATTTGAGTTTCTTGAGGGATAAAAATTAAGGTACAAAAGGTTGTATGGAAATCAATCAAGTTTCTTGTTTTTCTTTAGTGAGCTTAACAACGTCCAGTGTGTTTTTCTCGTGTATGTGTGCCTTTTCAAAATCTCTCCCGCCCTTGATTGAGGGACTATCCTTTTAATTTGATACTCGGCTCCACATTGAATAATTTGTACATTTATCATGCAACCTTGAGTGAATGCTGCATAGAATCAGTATTTGTATTTTGCACTTTCTAAGCAGTTTTAAAGGATGCCCTGTTGTAATTGGGCACACAGACTAAGACTATTTAAGACGAGGTATTTTCTGCTACAATAGGAATTTTAAGGAACCATATGACTTGTTGGTCTTTCCGAAAAAGTGTATAGATGTGAAGTACCTCATAAGCCTGATAAATGCTGCATAAACTTCATTTATTGTTCTTTTGTGAACCTCATTTTTCAAACAGTTTCCCCTATAGGGAGGTTTGATGCCCGCATGCTGTGCAAGCACCTTCAGAATTATGTGATTTACCAGAGCCGCTATTTAATAGATTACCAGTAATGCACATCGAATGCAATTCTGTCGTATTCACTGACGTGATACAATATCACCAAGCCTCTAGCTCAGTGGATCATGACTATTGTATGGTGACGTCTTGCAGTCAAAAGTTACAGTTGACTCAGGTATTGCCATTAAGGGCTGTATCTGCTATTGCCTCTCGTCCCCAATCCCCTCACCTGTGTCTTAATGTAGCCTTAGAACTGCATTTATGGATGGATCATAGTGAAGAATACCTGGCCTTAAAATATGCACTATTACAACATGCAAATCACTTCAGATCAGGCCATATGTTTTTGCCAACTACCTCCTGAGAATGTAGGAGTGTCCTTTTTTCTTCCTCTCCCACCCCCAAATAGCTCTGTTAATTGACAATCATCATTTTTTTTGGGGTTTTTTTTTTAGATAGAAGTTCTTAAAGTGTATCACAAACAATTATTTCTGGGACACTCTAGTTGAATATTCTATTTTATTTGTTGATTTTTTTTTTTTTGAGAACCATGTCCAATGTTAGTCATGGAAGAGCCGAGCGACCAAAGTTTCTATTCGAAGGCTTTCTTGCACTGCCGTGTGGTGTCAAACCTCCCTCTCACATCAGCAATTTCTTTCATTTAACCTTGTGTTTGCTCCTTTATAACATGCCAAATTAAATTTGCTGTCATTCCTGTAATGGTGAAGTCTTTAATTTCTGATTCATGTGTTTTGCGTTCACTGCTAAGCTCCTTGTTGTTGTTTCTTGATAATGTAAAGTGTGAGCTTTTTTTTAACAAGCAAGATTACAAACTGAGATATGCTGAAAACCCTGCTAAAACATAATGTGAAAACGTATCATTTAATATAGCTCACTTTCGCTTGACTGTGTATTGCATCATTTAATAAACTTAATTTCCTCTGACTGATGTGTCTTAATGTTTTACGTGCCATATTTTATGTTTTTGGACATGCTTGGCCTCTGCTGATGTCTGGATCTCTCTGCTGCCAGTTTTTTTCCATTCCTGTTTGCTGAGATAATGTTGGACTTTAAAAAAAAAAAAAAAAAAAAAATTCCCTCTATGCTTGTGTTTTTCTAGATCGCCAAACAACCAACTGTAAGTAAACACAGATTGTGTGGATTTTTGCAAACCCAAAAAACAATGTTGCCTGAGGCCAAAGTTGGTGCTTTCTTTTTCTTCTCAGACAACACTTCAAAAATAAAATTTATATTGTACAGTTTAGCTCAAATAAGTAAGGCTTTTTAACGACAACCCTTATATATCTGTTAAAAATTAGTCATGCCGTTTATGAGTGTCTGAGAGAGTCAAGTTTAAACTTTCTAGCTTAAACATGAAAAGGAAAAAAAAACATGTTCACACAGACAGGGAAGTCCTTAAAAAGTTTACAATGGCCGTGTTTCAAAACCAAGTGCACACCTACAAAGTGTTATAGAAGCCATGTTATTCCGCTCGCAAATGATGTCCAAAAATGCTGTCTAGATAGGAAGCACACTAGGTATTGAGACACGGCCACTCCTTCAGCTGATCAAAACTTTGCAACTGTGAACATCTTAGACGTTTAGCTTTATGTCTTTACATTTCACTCTGTCGTTTTGTATATAACGCTTATGGTTTTCGTTTAATATTGTAGTGTTTGTAAAAAATAAAAGTTCCTTTAGTTCGCGTAACTAACTTTACTTGAGTTTGTAACTAAACGAGTTTTGAGCAGCTCTGAGTTGAGCTGTGAAGAGCGAGTCAGATTTTCCAATCGCTCATTTATGAGAAGCACGCGAGCTCTCTCCTTTCTGCTGATCTACAACAGTCTCTGAGGTACGTTTATATTAAATGTTGAATGTTTTTAACATTTCACGGTGTCAAATGCTTTTGCTGTACTTACTAGTTGCAAGCCCAAACGTTTTTAAAGAGACGTTAGAGCAAAAACGCTGTTTTTAAAGGTATTTTCCTTAAAACAATAATGTTTTTGCACGATGGCATTTCTACGTTTCATAAACGTGTCTTTACGTATGTTAATTTTGCGACAGAGTTTGATTAAATATTTATTCATCAACTAGCTTTATTTATTTATCTTAGAATTTAGTCCGTGTTTTGCTACAATAACACTTGAAGTCTACGTCTCTCCCTAGAGTAAACAGTAGCCTACAAAAAAATGATGAATGTAATGTAACGTTATTTGGATTTTACTTAATATCCCAGCTTAACAGCAGTGGCAACTATGGGCTGATTCCCTCGAAAAGTGTGAATTCTGGGCACAATCAAAAAATTTGTTTTGGCATGATTGAAGATCAACTCAACGTAGCCTAATGGTACTTCGACCTCTTTGTCTGACCAACAAGTAGGAGTGTTGAGGAAATTTATTTGAAAACGATCCTTATTTTGCGATTCTGTCAAATAAGCGGCCTTTGGGTGGCTGCAATAACCATTAAACCTTATCATTAAAATTTTCTTGCATTACGTTTCTTGGTAAAATCCAAAAGAATAAATATTTGGGGGCGTCCACTTCATTACTAATATCAACCTTTTTGGATCTGTATCTTGGTGCCACTGGCAACTTAATACACTATTTTGTAGATGTCAGCAAAACAGCACAGAATAATGCAGTTACTAGTTAATAATTTTAAACTTATCTTAAAGATACTTTAATAACGTATTAAAGAAAAGCAATAAATTAAAAATACAACAACTGTAACAAGACAACATTTGAAGTCCCTCTGAGGTGTACATGTGGTATTTCTGTTGTAATAAAAATGTCTGTTTAATGTAGCCTACATCTTTATTTTTAGTGTTTTTTTTTTTTTACTTTAAGATAACTAGTCTACATTTAAATAATTGTAAGACTTTTTGGGGGCATTTTGCCAAAGGCGCCCTTTCGTACACTAACAAATTTAATAGTTTTTGATAGGTGAATTTTTATTTTATTTTTATTTTTATAAATGTTCAGCCTTCACTTATGCACCATACCATAAAAAAAATATTGAAATTAAAATGTTATTTCTAGGATGTAGTGTTACCCCAAAATAGCAGTTTATTGATTTATTTCAGTCAAAGTCCTTTCACTGTTAAGCATTGTATTTAGATCTTAAACGGTTACAATCATATCTATTCAACCCCCATTGCAAATCAGGTTTATTGGCAAAATACAAAGACATTCAGCTGAACAAATCAAAGGTAAATGAAATAGCCTCAACACAATAAATGCTTCAAGTGGTTTCGCCAAATTTGACTGAAAAAGCTACTTTTAATGACTTCTGCAGTCTCAAAATTATTCAACCCCTTCATGGCAAGCATCTTTAGTACTTACTAATACACCCTTTTGCTGTTATGACCTGCTGCAAACGAGATGCAGAACCAGACACCAGCTTCTGGCAGCGTTTCTGAGAAATCTTAGTCCATTCCTCATGAGAAATGGCCTCTAGTTCAACTTCAAGTAATATTCTTGGGTTTGTGTGCTGCAGTCGCCGCCTTCAAATCCCACCAGAGATTTTCTATGGGTTTCAAGTCAGGTGACTGTGATGGCCACTGTAGAATCTTCCAGGACTACTACTACAACCAAGCCTTGGTGATTGCCTCAATTACTTCTGTTTGATTTGTTCATTGCAAACAGCTGAAAGTCTGTACATTTTGCCAATAAACCTGATGTGCAATGGGGGTTGAATAATTTTGATTACAACTGTATATTCCTCAAGTGCTTACAAAGTCAGGAATATGGGTTTGATACACTAAGGCTCACATTGGTACAGTTAAAGGGATAGTTCACCAAAAAATGAAAATTAGCCCATGATTTATTCATCCTCAAGTCATCCTAGGTGTATATAACATTCTTCTTTCAGACTAGAAAATATCCTGGCTCTTCCAAGCTTTATAATGGCAGGGAATGGCTGGATATTTTTTGAAGTCCATCAAAGTGCATCCATAACCTCTAGGGGGTTAATAAAGGCCTTCTGAAGCGAAGCAATGCATTCGTGTAAGAAAAATATCCATATTTAAAACTTTATCGACTAAAATAACTAGCTTCCGGCAGACGGCCTACGCAAGTCAACTTACACCATAAGAGTAACACTAAGATGTATGACGCAGGATGTAGGAGTATAGCGCAAGCTTTGACGTAAGCAACAACCTCAAGCTCCTCCGACATTTCTTTTTAAAAATTCTCGTTTTAGACCTCTAATTCGTGACTGGTGTTTTGTTTTGCTCTATCCTCTGCGCTTCCGCGTTCGTCAAGGTCAAGGGTTACTCTTTCGCCATCTGCAGTGCCCGAAGCTAGTAAAATATCCAGCCATTCCCTGCCATTATAAAGCTTGGAAGAGCCAGGACATTTTTAATATAACTCCGATTGTATTCGTCTAGGATGACCTGAGGGTGAGTAAATCATGGGCTTTTCATTTTTGGGTGAACTGTCCCTTTAAGGGCAGTTAACAAAAATCGCTTTCTTTTACTGCTGTTTAGTGTCTGTTCAATAGCACCAGTATGCGGTTGCTCCAGGATAGAATGAGATGGACGTGTTTGTCCCGGTGCCTTTTCCTGCTGTACTCAGTGGGCAGCGTGGTGACCGAGCTCGAGCTGGACGGCTCGGACCGGGACTGGGGTTCTGGATTACACGAGCTCCTAAACAGCTTTCCAGCAGATAGTCCTTTTCTCAGAGAGACGCCCGGCAGACCGGCCAACTGCACTCAGCGCTTCTGGCTGCCTCCGTCCTCCCCTGTGTGCTGGGATGATATAGCGGGACCAGAGGAGTTTGAGAAGTCACGCCTCCTCGTGCTGCAGAACAGGGCGGCACTGCAGGCTGTCTCCACATCTAGTGGTGTCGAGGAAGGGGGGTCGTCCTATGATCAACAGGCCAGGGACGATGTGCAGGGCGTCCAGGCTGACCATCTTGTCGTGACTCAGACTGCCGATACAATGCAGAAGGTGTTCATGGATTTGGATGAGAAGAGGAAGGAGGAGAAAGAGCATTATACCTTCTCAAGGTAATTGAGTTTTGAACGTTTTCATGGTAATTCGTGGGGTTGAAAGCATTAAGCAGAATTTTACTGTAAAGTCGTCTTTTCACTATCTCCATCAAGCTGTGTGGGGTTTCAACTAGTCTCGTATATATTTTAAAGTGTCTATGCCGTGAACTTTACATACTTCACATACTTTTGAAAATCCAGTGTTTAGTTGATCCTGATAAGCGCTCATTGTCACAGTTGTACGGTTTGCTTCTTCCATAAGGGGGTTTGACATCACGGCATCTTTCCAGGTGGAGACGCAACACACACGTCTCACGGAAATACTGTAGAATTCAACCAATCAGATGACGACTTCGAAAGTCCCGAATAATTTCTGATTTTCTGTGCCATATGCATCAGACGTTCAGCCAAATTGGTGTGACGTCTGTGACTTTTTTGCAGCGTATGCAGACTTTTTGGATCTGATTTGAGCTTTGAGTCAAGTGCATTCAAATATTTGAACTTTTGCAGATAGACTGCATGCAAACGCCCGACTGGATGTGATTCTAACTGAACACAATTCAAACTGAGCACAAGGTGAAAATTACCCATATTTTTGGACTAAAATATTAAACTTTAAAAACTATTTCCACGAAATAGGCAGTTATGAGTATTTCAAATATATTGGCAGTCATTTGTTTTGTGTGGATGTATTTATACATTATTTATTAATTTTACCGTGGCGAATAATACAGTAACAGCTCTATTCACCAAAAAAAAAAGAAGTCAAATTTGAGGTGTTCGGCCACTTTTGACCAGGACTACGAGTTTGACCCCCTTAATGAGGAGAAACAAAATATTTTATGTTTATTGCAAAATATGCATGTATTATATATATGTAGCTCAAACAGTAGAGTGTTGGCGCTTGCAACGCCAAGGTCATGGATTCGATTCCCAGGGAAAGCAAGAACTGGTAAGAATGTAAATGTGTACCTTGAAATGCAATGCAAGTTGCGTCTGCCAAATGCATAAATTAAATATATATATATATATATATATACACAAGCATTAAGTAGTTTGAGAGTGTAGGGAGATTGACTCGATTACACCAGTTGCGATTTTTGGATTTGGGGAGATTACTTTGCAGAATCATGGGTAATGTAGTTTTGCAACAAGAATTCCACTGTTAAACATAATTCTTGTAAAAAAAAAGTTGTATAAAAATAATACAGGCTGATACATAAGCATATACCGTCACTTAACAACCTTGCAGCCAATATAGGTCATTATCATTAAAAATCAATTGCTCTATGGAGATAACAAAAAAAAAAAAAAACTTACTTCCGATTGTTGCACTCTGTGTTGGAGATAGTGGAAAGACGGTATATGATTACATAATGTCAACACAGGTTGTTTTCTCTTAAATCAAATAAATTCAAAAATGTTATAATAACATGAAAGTTTCTCTCTCTCTCTCTCTTAGTATGAAGGAGCAAATTGAAATCACGAAAGACTCCATTGCAAACAGGGAGCAAGTAGCAGCACTTCTGGAGAAACACCTTGCCAATCTGGAGAGGTCTTTGAACACTATGCAACTTCGACTGGCCAAACTACTACCCCAGTAATTTCACTTGAGCAACACAAGCCCATGTTAAATGGACATGTGGAAAAAATAATAATGCATGTTTTATTACAACATTTAATCACACAAACAAAAAAAAAGACATATGACCATATACTGCATGCTAACAGCGTCCGGTACTTCTCTTTTGGTACGTTTCCCCCCTCGTTCTTCCACTCTATTAAGTAAGTGAGTTACTAGGAACTAGAAATAAAGTCTATTTTTATACCCCCAGACTAAAGACTTGTACCTTACAATTTTGTTATGCCAAATTTGTCTAAAATCGCCTGTGATCAAGAAAAATGTCACTTACACAACGGTTCATTTGATTTTGCATGACTGATTGCATATTAAAAATAGGATGAACACATAATCAGCAAATGCATTTATTCAAATACAAAATCAAACTGTTCAAGCATTTAAAAACTATACAGAGCACTAGATAAATCTTCAGCTGCAGTCCAGACTCAAGTATTAATCAAATGTATTTTTTATCTTCAGCGGGTGAAGTGGTTAAAATGTTAAAGCACCTCTCTAAACCCTGAGAAATATAATTTTATTTAGAAGACGCATAAGCAAAGTCTAATTTCACAATGAATGAAATGGACTGTATAGATGTTTGGATTGTTGCAGCTGAATAAAAAAAAAATCTTCACAAAACATACAAATCATGGTGTCAAGTAGTAATAAAACACCACCAATGCATGACACAGCAGCACGTATACTGGTTTCCTGTGCTCTCAGTGGTTCAGTTGTGAATCTGAAGCGGCTATTGAACATTTTAAACAGCATAGTGTAAGTGGGTGCTAAAACATACAGACTACTACAGTAAGTAAAACATGTATGTTACCTCTCTAAAACAACAACTCTTTGGGTGAAATCTCCTTATTTGTAAGACAACGTCCTATGACTTTATCCACTGTTCTAGTAAAGTGGTCAGAACCAGTTCACAGTGATTTCCTCCGACTTGCTATTTATCACTACAGGTTGTCATCATCTTTGTCCATTTCTTCCAGTGACTTCAGATAATCTCTGGCCAAGATTTTCTTAGGAAGGATATCTAAAAATAGAAGAGAGACAAAACTGTTTACACACCACTTCATGTGGTTTGAATTGTGTTTGTCATCATTACAAATGACCAGAACTCACCAGTTAAAAACTGAAATGTTTCCGACTCCTCTGCTGCCCTGGCCAGATCACTGTATGACAGTGTGTTTGTCCCTTTACCGGAACCGTTTTTATATGAAGACAGAGCCAAGTGCTGGACAAAAAGCTCCTATGAGGAAAGTATGAAGATGTGTCACACTCACAGTAATATATAAATATATCAGTCAATGATATAAGAGTCGTTCGCTAGTACTCTTACTAATACGAGAGATATGAATTTAAACTAAAAGTTAACTGGTGTCGCAAATGTCCATAGCGAACAAAAACAAAACAGCTTTTCAACTGAATAAGGCAGTTAGCCTGCCAACTGACCATTGATTAATAACACACCAAATTACCGTTGCTTTAGTCGTCAAGAAAAGAGCGTCCTGGTTAATACAGGACACATCGGGAGAACTTTTCATGATTAATCGCACCCTCGACATTGGCAGAGATATATTTTTACTGTTTGTAGCTTGCTCAACTTTCTCCTCCATGTTTCTATCAGACATGTTTCTCTTAGCAGCCGCTGTGGTTCAAGCTTAACGGAAGTAAATCAATCTAATAGGCTTTCAAAGAGACGTCACTGGATGACGTTTACATGGGAACTGTAGTTTTAAGATGAATCGTTTGTAGTCCTTTGAGAATTTTGTCAGAAGAGGAAAGAAAAGAGAAACAAATAAGTGTAAGCAGATGGTTTTTTTAATGTATGTATTAGATATGCAAAGTGACCATATGTTTCTATCGTTTTTATCTTTCATTTATTAATAAAAGTGCTGTGTCAAATTATCTAAAATATTGGTTTTCAAACTTTTTGACCCTATGGCCCCACACATTTTTTTCTTCCGTAATAATTATAATGCAGCTAAGGACGTCAATTTATTAAAATAATGATTTTTTTATTATTATTATTTTTTACTGTTGATGGGACGAATTAAAATATAACGTCATATTGTTCATGTTTAAAACATTTTAAATGTAACATAACATTATTTATTAACTTTTTTAAATTATTTAAACTGTATAAAAGTATTTAAGTACAAGTATTTCAATGTTTACTTTAATTAGGAAGTTTTTTTTTTAATGCGACAGAAAGTCTGGCAACAAAACTGTCCGCATGGTAGTCGTTAAATTGGTATAAACTACGTTTCCCGAAATACCAGAGTTGTTTTTTCCCTCCTCGACAGTAGTTGGGCGTGTGCACTTCACAGATAACGAATGAGCTTGGCAACGATGTTTACTACAGCGTTCAGGACTGCGTTACCCACAATGCACTGCTCACCGTTGTCAAAAGTCTTGCTTTCTTGGGTCACTTGTCGAACTCTGGCCAGCTAACCTTCTCTTATTTGACGAAATAATGCATCTGTCAGGCGCTATGCTTGGGGAAATAGGACACGGACAGGGGCCCGGTGCCGGACCCGCGCCTGGAACCTGCAATCCGCGGAAATTCAGCGAGAAAATCGCGCTTCACAATCAGCGACAGGCTGAAGACACAGCCGCTTTCCGAGAGGTTATGATGGACATTACTTCCATCAGGGTGAGTCTACTCGATACCTCTCGATACAGGACATGTCAGGCGTGTTTACGACACTTGTCATATATTTGACCTGGGCTCCATTATAATGTTATTGCGGCTGCTTAAACTTAGTTTTATTGATTGCTGACAACTAGCTTTAGTTTAGGTAACAGCTACTGGGTTTTCTTAGGAAGTGCGATGTCAGTAACAAGAAATCAAAAAGGAAGTCAAAAAAATTACTTTATAGTAAACAGTTTGTGGATTGTTGTTATGTTTGGATATTTGTACATATTAACCCGTATCCTATTTTCCCCAGCTAAAGTATTTTTACTTCTCCTTGTCTTTTGTATAATAATATAACTCATATATAACATATTTTCCGAAACAAATTAATATTTAAAAAATAATGGAAAGTCTGTATTTTTTCCTGGTCACGATTTTAACTGGATGGAACTGGAGTCAAAAACTACTGGTTGGACTATAAGATACATTATAACGTTTCAAACAATGAAGTAACATAGTTACAAAAGAAAAAAATAATTGTTGTCCAAAAATGCATATTTCGTTGTACTTTTACTTGTTTTAACAATACGTCTATAATGTAAATCAATCAGCTAAAAATCGTGCTCAGTGTTTACGTGTGATCATGACTTACACGAGACAGCGATATTCATAATAAATAAATAACATTAGACCCTTGAAATATTGTATGTACCAAATATGGTAGTTGTAGCTCTATGATGATGTTTTATGAAGTTAAAGCAGTGTTAAACAGTTCTGGTCATGTAACTATTTACAACTATTTTTAATCTGAAATCTAGACAGTATTATACCCTTTAAAATCACAAGTAAATTGTAGTAAGATTTTGGGGGATTAAATGGGTTACCATCAGTATATGGACTTGTGATTCAGCAGGTTCACAACGTGGATTATGTCAATGCACATAAATAGCACTTTGTCAGTAACTCATCTAGGGTCTGTTTCACATCAGTGTTGCAGACTGAGGCAAAGGGATCTGAAAATCCCAGGTACAGTGTCTGTTTTAAATTATGATGTAACCGGTGTTTGTTCCCCTGAGGATAAAGCAGTCTGTGGGGGAGAGAGAGATTTGTGTTGTGCTACTGTGACCAGTGGGCATCTATTCATTCCCTCCTCAGGTTCAGGCTGAGAGAGTTCGGCAAACCAGCGACTTGGTCCCGTACTATGGAGGATCGCTGCCAAATGTCAATCAGATCTCAAGATGCTCCAAGGAGAGCCAGGTGAGGGATTTTTATTGCATTTTTAGTATCATTATTATCCTCCTCTCCTTATAAACAAAGGAGAAACATGCAGAAATTATTTTTCTTTGAATGAATTGCATTTGACTTGCCTTTCTGCTATTTACAGTACCCGAGTTATCTTACACAGCAGCTCCTAGAGGCAGATGAAGAGTACAGAGACGTCCAGCCTAGTCCTCTTGGCAGGCCGCACAGGAGACACGTATCCCCACTTTTACAATGGCTGATAAGGTTACACTTTATTTCGATAGTCCACTTTAGACATTCTAGTAACTTTGCAACTACATCTCTCATTAGAATATTAGTAGACTGTTAGGTTAGGATTAGGTGTTAAGTTTTGGGTAAGTAGACATGTAGTTGCAAAGTTACTTATAGTTAGTAGAATGTCTAAAGTGGAGCATCGAAATAAAGTGTTACCGCTGATAATCTTACAGATGCATGTTTATAGTAATATGAAAGGAATATTGCAACAACTCTAATCTTAAAAATTGTGTTGCTTTAGTTTTGTATTGTACTGATAAATATGTACACAGACAATGGTTGCATACAGAGAACAGGTATTTTTAATAATAGTAATTTTCACCACCACTGGAAAAGCCATGTAAATTGTTATAGTTAATATATATATATTTTTTTTTCTATTTATGTTATTCTTTTAACTGCATTAAGTGCTACACAGTATTACACTACCATTCAAAACATTCTTTAAGATTTTTTTATAGAAATTAATACTTTCATTTAGCATTAAATTGACAATAAAGACATTTATAATGTTACAAAGAAATAAACGCTGGTCTTTTGAACCTTTTATTCATCAAAGAATCCTGGAAAAAAAATTTGCCGTTTCCAAAAAAATATTAAGAAGCTCTTTCGGCATTGATGATAATAGTGATAATGCATCCTTGCTGAATAAAAGTAAGTTCTTTAAAAAAGAAGAAAAATCTTACCCTGAACTTTTGAATGGTAGTGTATCACAGTTTCCACAAAAATATTAGGCAGCAAAAATTAAATGAAATTAAGCATCAAATCAGCATATTAGAATGATTTCTGAAGGATCATGTGACACTGAAGACTGGAGTAATGATGCTGAAAATTCAGCTAAAATGCAAAACAGTTATTTTAAATTGTAATAATATTTCATAATATTACTGTTTTTACTGTATTTTAGCATACTGTAAGAGAAAAAACCTTACCGACCCCAAACCTAGTGTATAATCTGTAATTATTTTTAAAATACTAATACATTAATCATAAAAAATTGCAGAATTTATGGAACATTGTATGTCGCAAGGTCTGAGAAGAGCCAAAATGAATTATTTTTAAGCCTTAACTTCATTTCACAGTTTGAAAGCGCTCCCTATCTCTCTACCCACCTCTCTCCTCCTCGAGGTCCTAACTGGAGAAGGTAAGGTTATAGAAGAAAGTGTGCTGAAGTCTACCACAATCATGACATTACCTTCAGGTGCACAATCATGGGGTTTGAGCTCCCTGAATTTTTTTAGTGCCAGTACTTTGATTAGTACTTTGAAGTACTTTTGCTTGTGTCCAAGCAGAAACTGGTCCAGTTGTTCTGCCACTGAGAAGAGCCAGATGGTCCGTCTTCCTCTGACAGCTCTAAATAGGTAAACAGAAGTCGGAAGAAGACTGCTGATCCAAGATCAGCTCTTGCGCGTGTACAATAATGGTATTAGTTACGCCCACTGATCTCTCTAATTGGGGATGAACTTGCTTAACTCTGGAAGATTTAGAAAATGTTATTGACTCCCACATCACCCTGCTTACGCCCACCACTCTCTAATCCTGTTTATCCTCTCAGAACCAACTCTGACTCAGCCCTCCACACCAGTGTGCGAAACACCCAGTTACATGGCCATCCCAAATCTGGCCAAACCCTGAACCCTCAAACCAGACACCATGGTGAGTTTAACAGTTGCTTTGTTGCATTATCTTGTTAGATACACTACCGTCTGTGAGTTTTTGTGAACACTTTAATTCAGCAAGGACACATTAAATTCATCAAAAGTGACAGGAATGAATTAAAATAGCAAACAATTAATTTAAATTGTAATAATATTGCACAATATCATTGTTTTTACTGTTTTTTTGATCATATCAATGTAGCCTTGTTGAGACTTTAAAAAAAACACATAAAATACGGTAGTCCAGGCTAACATGTAACGTGCTGTATAATCAGTCAGTAAACTTCACTTTTGATTTTGATAAGACTGTTGCAGATTTTAACATGACATGAAAATATTATTTATATAATATTATAAGTATTTTGTCTTAAATTACTTGCTTATTTTGAATGAAACCTATTCTTCAAGGATTTGCGCATCCTGCACCACTAATTGAAGAAAATATTCAAGAGGAGACACAATCTCCCAAACTAAAGAAGGTAATTATTCTGCCTCATTGGTAAATTGTTCTTAAAGTGCCGCTATTATGCTTTTTATGCGAATGTTACATTTCATGCTGTTTATGAATGTAAAAGGTTATAAAGATCAAAATGAAAAACTAAAGTTATTGTCCCCTTAAAGAAAGAATCGATTCTGAACTGCTGAAATGAGTCATCAGTAATTCCAGTCTCACTATTACATACCTTCGTAACAATGTAACAAATTTGCATAACGCCAGCCTATGGTTTTCATTGGCTGCCCGTGAAAAACATCTACTTTGACCCTCAAACACTGTTGTTATAGCTGAGGCCTGGAAGAGTTTGGATCGTGTTGT